GTCTCAGATTTTCTGTTTGAAATTGGGCTGAGTTTATGTCAGCCGCACAGGAGATCTTTCTAGAACCTTTGGTAATTTATTAAATTATGTATCAGGTAATACTCCTCGCCAGTCGGTTTCAAATGGTCCCAGGCCTGCAACCCCTGCTCCTGCCGTCGTGTCCCCTGCTTTAAGTCAGTGTTCAAAGTTCTAATAGGCTTTCTTTCTTTGTAGTTCAGCTTTTTTTTCTTTCTTATTTAATACTGAGTGGCAGTTCATAGAAAAATAGTTCTCAGCCTATTTTTTCTCTCATTTTTTTTTTTTTTTTGCCACTTTATTTAGAACTTATCTTAACCATATCAAACTCGTTTGTCTTAGATGTGTTAAACCATGCGGTCGCTGAAGGATTAGCACAACAGTCTTGGTTTCATGGGTTTGTTGAAAGAAACGCTGCTGAATCCAAGTTACATAGAGAGGGAGATTTTCTGGTTCGCATGAGTCAAAATACAGTTAACAATTTTGTCTTGTCAGTTATATCAAATTCAACACCAGCTCATCTTTTATTGCTGGATGAGAACGACTTGAAGGTGATTGTTTTTAGGATTCTATAAAAATCAACTTGCTTTATTAGTATTTCTTTGCTTTTATTGTATTCTTTAACTTCTTGAACTCATATATTCTAAAACCGCGTAAATTTAGGTGCGCGAACAGGAACAGTTTTTTAGTACCGTGGTAGAAATGATTGAGTATCATTTTCGTAACGAAGTGCCCATTGTTGCTGATGGCCTTGCTCTTCGCCTTATCCGTCCAATTGAAAACGATGCTGTTCGTAACCAACATCAGGTATTCGCCAATAATTCGCATCCATTAGTTCAACGCATGTAAAGGCAATTTTGAATCCTCACTCTAACTACATGTTACCTTTTAGCTTTTGTTTCATATGGTTGTAACTGAGACATGTAAGCCAGTCGATTTAGCCTTTTGCAGTTCTAATTACAATCTGCTCTCCGTGCCAATTTTTCATTGTGTGATATCTCAAAGCTAGTTTATTAGAATTTTTAAACTGATTCTCTGCTTTAATTTTTTATGCTTGTACATTATTTAATTGAAGGGTATATCGTAAGTATTTGACATTTACAATGGTGGTGAACTTGAGACTAAGTTTTTTAGGTAATCCAGTTAGAGTTAGATTTTAGATTAACTGGATTTTACGGAACTTTTGGCTGGTTGTTCGTGTATTAAGAAGCGTAGCCAGAGTGTGGGGTAATACTCAGAAATTTGAAAAAATTTTTTTAGACTTTATCGATTACGGTGATTGTGGTATTTTTTGTTACTTGTAAGTCCTACGTTAGTTTCCTTTTAAAGGTTTAATTGCTTTTTAAAATTTTTGGTTTGGGAAGGTTTGTCGTTGCTTAATTTGCCGGGAACGAGATATTGTATTTCATTTTATGATTACTTAAGCTGCTTACTTCTTCCTTGTTTTGTTACATGTTTTTAAGTTGAATTGTGTGGTCAGAGTAGTTTAGCTTATTCATGTTCTTTTTCTTTGAAGACTTAAATCGGGTATTAAGTGGTATTCGATGGAAGAAGTGTTTTGAAAATGGAAGGAAAAAAACTTTACTTTTGGGATTAATCAGTGTCAAGATCTGGTGACTTGGTGTATTTGGCTTTGTAAATTTCAGTTTAGTTTATTTGATTAAGATTCTCTCTCCAGTTCGTCGCTGATTGGTTGTAAATAAAGGTAGTGGCCTCCAGTGCCAGTCTAAGTTTCTTTCAGTATCTGGTCTTGCTCAATGTACTGTGAAGGAAAATTCTAAACTGGATAGTTCACAAGTTTGTAAAGTGTCCCAGTGCATTACGTATATGTATCATATAGTTGTTCGAAGCAGGCAGT